GAGAACACAGTGATGAGCGGCCTACTGACATCAGGGAGAGGGTTCTCACCAGGAACCACGTGCACTGACACCCTGATCTTGGACTTTGAGCCTCTAAACCTAAGGAAATGATTGCTGTTGTTTAAGCCACCCAGTCTGTGTGTTTTATTACGGCAGCCAAATCAGACGAAGGTAACCACACTCCTCACACTTTGGCCAAGAACAGGCTCTTGTCCTCGCAGCTTTGATTTTACCAGAATCTCTTCACACGTGAAAGGGGTATTGAGGAGAAGAAGAAAGAAACACACCATAAAGCATGGTCAGGGGATTTTTATTTTTATTTTTTGCAATAACCAGAGTGATAAGCAGCAGGTTCCAAAATGCCAAGAAGAATAGAGTTTCTACAGTAGTGATTTTCTTATGTGGCACCATCTGTTTCTTTCTAATGTAATAAAAATGACAGCTTTTCTTGTACTGATACTCCCTGAGCCTTTTAAAGTCAAACATATGATGTTGTTTGTGTGTAAAGGTTTTTCTCTTGCATTCATTTGTTTCTCCAGCTTGAATTTTATGTAAACTCCCTTGGCTAAATTATACAAGCCACCCACACCCAACGCCTCCTCCCTCGCTGGAGAGCAGCGGACGGAAACCTGTCGCCTGCAGCCTGAGGGTCCAGCAAGCAGCTCACTACCAGGCCCAGGAAGGTTTCCTGCCGGCAGGGCTGCCTGTGCCCACTCCCCCACTGAGCCATGCTATGGGCACGTATCTTTGAAACATGGCTTCTACAAGACATTATTGGCAAACCCAGTCTAAACCTGTCTCCCTCTTGTCCTTGGATGCCCCATCCACTCCCAAGTTCAAACCACTGCTAAATCCTCTTCCCCCTTTTCCTTTAAAAGGCAATTGCATGCATTTAAAGTAAGCATCATATTCTTTTAAAAAATCAACAGCTCAATGGAGATATAATTTATATACCACAAAGTTTGCCCATTTTAAGCTCCAATTTAATGCCTTTTAGTAAATTCACAAAGTTTATAACCATCACCAAAATCCAGTCTTAGAATATTTCCTTCACCACACTATGACCCCTCATGCCCTTCAAAAGTTATCTCCATTCCCACTCCCAGCCCCAGCCAATCTTCATCTGCTGTCTGTAGATTTCTCTCTTCTGGCCATTTTATATACATGAAGTTATACAAAGGGTAGTCGTTTGCATTTGGCTGTTTTCACCCAGCATCATGCTTTCAAGGTCCACCTGTGTTATAGCAGGTGTCCCAGTTTCTTTCCTCTGTGGTGCTGAATCGGATTCCACTGTGGATGTGCATCACATTTTGTTTATCCAGTCAACGGTTGTAGACGTTTGGGTTGTTTTACTTTTCAGCTAATATGTAAGTAATGCTACTGTGAACATTTAAGTGCAAATCTTTGTGTGGACATATTAAACCTCTTATTCTGGACTAGAGGCCAGTTTGGGGGGTGTCCCTCAGCCCAGCCTGCACCCTCTCCATCCTGGGACCTTCTCAAGGGATGTCCGACTGCCTGTTTAGGCCTTAAACTGGCAGTCGGACATCCCTCTCACAATCCAGGACTGCTGGCTCCCATCTGCTCGCCTGCCTGCCTTCCTGATTGCCCCTAACCGCTTCTGCCTGCTAGCCTGATCACCCCCTAACCACTTCCCTGCCAGCCTGATTGCTCCTAATTGCCCTCCCCTGAAGGCCTGGTCACCCCTAACTGCCCTCCCCTGCAGGGCTGGTCCCCCACCCCCCAAACTACTCTCTCCTATAGGCCTGGCTCCCCCCCCCCCAACTGCCCTTCCCTGCAGGTCTGGTCACCCCCAACTGCCCTCCCCTGCTGGCCTGATTGCCCACAACTGCCCTTCCTTGCAGGCCTGGTCACCCCCAACTTCCCTCCTCTGCCAGCTGGTGGTCACCCCTAACTGCCCTCCCCTGTAGGCTTGATTGCCCCCAACTGCCCTCCCCTGCTGGCTATCTTGTGTCCACATGAGGGCAGCCATCTTGTGTGTTGGAGTGATGGTCAATTTGCATATTATTCTTTTATTAGATAAGATAATTAATAAAATATGTTTCTGGATCTTAATTTAAAAAATCAGCTGAGTTTGATGTTTTTACAATCATCCTGCTTTGTCCCTCAAAATCCCTCCAAAGGTAAACTGCCTGTTTTTACTTCAGTAAGTCTATCAGTTGACTCTTTTTCTCTGGTAATTGGCCCTTGATAGAAAGGAGGCTCCCCTTGTTAGAAAGTGTCCCCAACTCCTGCTTTCTAAAAAAGAAAGAAAATACAAGGTATCATTCAAGTTAAAGAGCATTGATTCAGTATATTCTCTATGTCGGGGGCCGAGGAAGTTAGCTGAGATGAGACCAGGATCCCAGATACCTTACTGTCAGGAATCTAACCATGACCAGGTCCTGGCTCTTAGGCCTACACTCAACCCCTGAGCCATCTGGCTGGGTATCTTATTCTTTTAACTCATTACATTCTGCCCTGTTTTGTGTTAATGGGCAATTATCTGCAAATTAGGTAAGGTTGATCTCTGACTTTTCCCAAGTCCTCCTTTTTTAAAATTCCTTATCAAAGAACATATTTTTAAATTGATTTTAAAGAGAGAGGAAGGAGGAGGGGGAGACAGAGAGACAGACATTGATCCGTTGTCTCCTGCATGTGTCCTGGCTGGGGATTGAACCCAAAACCTGAGTATGTGCTCTGATCAAGAACTAAACCCACCATCTTTTGATGTATGTGATGATGCTCCAACCAACTCAGCATTCCGGCCAGGGCCCAAGTCTCTCCTAATAACAGTGTTGCACTTGCCATTGAGCTGAGGATGTCATTAAAGCAAAATGGTCATTTCCCCCATCCTCATATTTTTAAAATTATGGCATGGTCTCTATAGGTGGACTCTGGGAGCAAACTAATTTCACACTTAGCCTGGGTCTGAGTATGTTACAGTTGTTTTGATTCAAGACTAACTGGGAAGGGGGGAGTGGACAATAAGAGGTGTCAATCAAATAACCACTAGGTGGGATCAGAGTAGGAGGTTTCAGGGGTTTCGTTTGTTACCTATCTACTTGAAGGCCACTAAGACTACACAGAAACTGATGTTGGATATCAAAAAGCAGGGAACTGAGTCTTGAAATTACCTGATTAAGATTGAATTTATTTGCTTTACAAATATTTGTTGAGCTCCTACTTGTGAAAAGCACAAAGTGCTGTTGGGAATCAAAAGATGAATAAAACATACTCCCAGCTTTCAAGACGTTTGCAGTGCAAAATATTATTACCCAAAGATGTTTGAGCAAGGCTTGAGCCCAAAGCTATAAAACATACCTTCTTAAGATGAGAAGGATTACAAAGTACATCAAAAAGCAAAGTGTGCTTTGAGAGTATTTTAGTAGAGAGGGGTGTTAAAGCAGGGATTTGGGGACAGACTGAAAAATGAAAGCTCTAGAGGCGTTAGCCTTTACTTTACTTTGTCCAGTAAGAGAGCACCAGGGAAACAAAAAGTGCTCTTGCTCTTGCTCTTGCTCTTGCTCTTGCTCTTGCCAATATAAAATTTTATCATTTTTAGAGAATGGTAACTGCAGCTTTGAGATTCTTTGTCAGGGCAATTTAGTTAATAGGTATGTAAATGACTGCTTATTTCATTGTGTGGGTGGATCACTCCATGTACACTTTCTGAGGAAGAATAAAGTGCTGAAAACTATTAACATTGCACATACAAAGCAAGAGTTAAGATTAGCATGCCATACCTCTGTTGTGTTAAATGCTAGGAGTAAGACATGATCCATCTTATAATTAAAATGTGTTCAGTTTACTCAGTGGAATTTCTTCTTCACATTCAACTCTGAACTGCCCTTTTTGGATGCAAGAAAATGTAAGTGAATTGCAGTGGGAGCTTGTTTCTTAAGACTGGTTTTCAAGCACTAAGGATCCTGGTAAACCTAGCAGGGGTGGGTGGGAAGGTGTTGAAAGTTCAAACCACAGAAATAGATTATCATGTAAGATTTGCAGTTTGAGGCATCTAATGAGAACATCTCTTTAAAAAAGAAAAGAAAAACACCTAAGGAGCTCTTTTAGAAATTTATTGTTTTTTCTGCATGAAAACAACTGCATAGGAGGTTAGGAATCCTAAAGCTCGTCTGGCCTTAGCTACTTCCTGTGATCAGCATGGAAGCTTCTTTAATTCTTGAGTTAAATGGGGAAGAAGTCACTGGTGCAAGAGAATAAATGGGCCTTGTCTCGTAGATGGTCTCTAGCTCTTCTCCCACTTGAATCCATCCTACCCAGTGAATTAGCCTCCTCTTCAGTAGCATCGTTTGCTGCTATTAACCGAGGATATTTTTTCTCATTGGTTTTTAAAGAGAATGCAAGTGGGGGGAGGAGGAGGAAGAGAGAAACATCAATGTGAGAAAGCTATGTTGACTGGTTCGAACCTGCAGCCTAGGCATGTGCCCTTGACTGGAAATCGAGCCCACTGCCCTCCAGTGCATAGGTGGACCCAGCCAGTCTTACTGTCCACAGCTACAATTGTGTTTTAATTACTGTATTACCCCTCCTTGAAATTTCCTTAGGTTCCTCATTGTCTTGCAGATCAAATTAAATTCTTAATGAAATCCAAGCTTTCCACCCTTCTTATCTTCTACCCTTCTTATCGAACCACTCTTGACTCCCTCTAATATCCATTCACATTCTCCTTGTGTTAATTTCTTTTTGTGGGCTACAGCTCATGTAATTCCCAGTCCCTGCATCTCTCACTCATCAGTAAGCTGAGTTCCTCTCACTTGTCTCTTCCCATTGATTTTCTACACAGTTGTCATGGGCATGAGTTCCTTTCTGTGGCAAGCTCTCTGCGCTGTGCTGTGGTCACTGAGGATGGACACCAGGGACTGTGTCCACATGCTGGAACCCCCAGCACAGTAAAGGGACTGCGGGAAGGGGTGCTGCACATTGTGAGTGCTCTTAGTTATCAAATGTTATTTGCTTTTGTATTTCTTTTCCTCCAGGTACAGAGTGAAGACAGTGTCCTTCTGTTTGTTATTGCCTGGACAATCACAGAAATTATCCGTTACTCCTTTTACACATTCAGTCTATTAAACCACCTGCCTTACCTCATCAAATGGGCCAGGTAAAGAGGTACAGGGAATGAAGACTAACTTTTGAAATGATCTGTCATTGTAATATTGTCTAAATACTGCTTATAATTTTTTTTTTTTAAAGTGTACTGAGACTGGGGATGGGTAGAAAGCCAGACTGTAGATTTCATCAGGATAAGGAACTCGACTTAATTTTGATTCTAGAAATACTGTTTTAAATTTTTTTTTATTGAATCAATTCTTTGCATTTCAATTATTCAATAGTGATTTGATGTACCATCCCTTTTTTGTCTGCATCAAATTTTACTGATGAGTTTCTGCCATTATGATGATTTTTGGACCAAATCCAGTTCTCAATTTTGTCAACAAGCTATGACTCTTAAATTAATTTCTAATTAATAGCAGTTTAGATTAGTATCAGTTTATTTTGCTTTGATTATTTTTACAGTAATATTCATTATGAGTGGGATAAAAGGCCATCTATTTATCTGAACTAATCCATGAGACAGTTGTAATCAATTCTCTGAATTGAAAAGACTATGGGGAGGATTGACAACATAAAAGGAGTAAAATTATACTCGGGGCCTACATGCCTCCTTTCATGGGAGGAAAAGAGTGGTTCCTAGGCAATTTATGAGCTGGGTGATTAAATTAGAGGCAGACCAGTTGTTTGTGACATTTCAAGTACGTGCACTTCTTTATTTTCTTCCTTTTTTTTCTAGTAAACATTTTTATTAGGAAAAGGGAAGAATGAGAAAAACATGGTTTCTAACCAACCTGGCAGGCATTGTGAAAGCTATAGAGAGCATTCCTGGACCAGGCCTTTGGAGAATTCTTTTGTCCCTGTTTCCCATGGCCTATGGAGAATTCTTTCTTTCCCATCGTCCTCCTCAGCTGAGGCTGGCCGTGGAGAACATCTTCCTTTCATCACCACAGATTTCTCAGCGCCTGGAAATGTCTGTACCTGGAATTTTAAAGGATAGTTCTCACTGTCAGCCACAAACAGCCAAACACTTTTTATTTTTTAATTATTATAGTTGTTTTACAATATTATGTATGAGTCTCAGGTCTACAACATAGTTATCCAACTATTTATACACCTTACACAATGATCACTGCAGTAAAATTAGTTATTGGTCACTCTCCAAAGCTATTATAATATTGTTGACTCTGTATTCGCTATGCTGTACATCACATCCCCATAACTCATTTTACTCCCCTTCACCTTTCCCACTCACCCCCCCTCCCCTCCCCGCTGGCAACCATCAGTTTGTTTTCTGTGTCTATGAGTCTGTTTTGTTTTGTTTGTTCTGTTTTTAGATTCCACATGGAAGTGAAATCATATGGTATTTGTCCTTCTCTGTCTGACACATCACTTAGCATGATATCCTCTTGGGACATCCATCACAAATAGCAAGGTTTTATTATTTTTTATGGTTGAGTTATATTTCATTATTATAATCTTTATCAGTGGACACTTAGGTTGCTCCCATATTTTGGCTATTGCGTCAAAGGCTTTTTAAAATCTGAGCTGATGATTTCTTCAGCAATACTTTTTTTTTTTAATGTTATTGTTTAAAGTATTACATATAGTAGTACATATATCTCCTTTTTTCCTTTCATTGTCTTTAGCACTACTTATACCTCAAAATGACTTCCAGTTTATATCATAGGACAAACTTCTCTCTAAATTCTCTTTGAAACATAAAGAAATTCTTTTTAAAGTGAAAGAAATTGTGTGGATTCTCCCATGTGCTAGTAATTAGTTCTTTCATTGAAAACTTACATGACAAAAAGTTTGCATACATTTTTAATTTTTTAAATTAGCATAAATTTCAGTTTTCACAATAGCATGCACAGACCTTTGAGTAATGGTAGCAGTGCACACACATGGAATGCGCTATTTTTTTTCTGTCTATAGACCAGACTTGGTGTACATTGTTAAGGATTCCTAGACAAGTGCTCCAACACCTTCTCCCACCTCCCTGCACATGCCCCATCCACTCCCAACCCATAGGGTAAATTCGATGTAAATATTTGGCTTCACTTCAGTTAGTTTAGGGAATTGTTTTTGAAGAGTTGTTTGAGGCTTACTGAACACATTTATTTTATTTTAGAATATTCAGAAATATATCTGCTATAGGCCCTTTTAAAAAAAACTGACTTGTAAAACCTAATCTTCAACAGTAGATGAACAGGAAAATGTATAAACAGACCAGTACTTTCTATATAAAACAGCAGTACTGATTAGAATAGTGGGTACGTCTTTCTACTAATGCTGGCTTTGAGCCTCAGTAATGAGTATTTTGTTTTATTTTAGGTACACGCTGTTCATTGTGCTATATCCGATGGGAGTGTCAGGAGAATTGCTCACAATATATGCTGCTTTGCCTTTTGTCAGACAGGCTGGCCTGTACTCCATCAGTTTACCTAACAAATACAATTTCTCCTTTGACTACTATGCATTCCTAATTCTGATAATGATCTCCTACATTCCACGTAAGTAAACAGTTACACATAAATTCATTTATGTGTTAAAAAGTGGCTCTGCAGTAGCCAGAGTTCAATGCCTTTGGTTGTTTTTACACCATATTTAGGTAAACGTAAATCTGGTTTATTGGGAATTCCCTCTGGTAGTAGTTATAGAAAGAGGACTCCTTCTCAATACAGCTGCCAAAATGCAGCCCTTCTTAGTGTGTGGGCTTGAAACACTGACTACCAGGATGGTAACTATTGGGGAAAAATACTGACTGGAAAACAAAAAAAGCCATTAAAGCCTTACCTTGGCTTTTTCTGTTTCTTAAGAACTGCTTATTATGGTATCGGAAAAACATTGTTAAAAGGTGGGGTTTTTTTTTTTTTGCATTTTTACTATATCAAATAGACAATCTTCATTTTTAAGGAATCATTAGTTAGCGGGAAACAAATAGCAAAATATAAACAAGTTAATTGCCCTGCATGTTGCTTGGTGGTTGGCTCTTCGGCCCATGGACCAAGGGGTCTCAGGTTCAGTTCCCTCTCAGGGTTGAAGATTCATTCCTCAGCCCCAGTTGGGACATGTGGGGGAGGCAGCCAGTCAGCGTCTCTCTCATATCAATGTTTCTCTCCCCTGCCCCCCCTCCCCTTCCAATCTTTCTAAAAGCAAAGGGGGAAAATATCCTCTGGTGATGATTAAAAAATAAAATAAAAACATTATTTTTTTCTATATTTTTTATTTTCCCGTTTAGAAACCAGCACTAAAACCATTTGAACAGAACATAGTGTTCTCTTCAGGATGGCTTCCAGTATTTAACAGTGCCGCTAAAGGCCTATACTGGGTAATCAGATGTGCCCCCAGCGTACTTGGGAACAGAGGGAAAATGCTGTGTTTGAGGCCTCTGGGAAGTGAGTCCTGTTTGCTGAGGAAGAGTTGTTTGGTCCTTTTCTTGAATTCTGTTATTCATCGAAATCCTGTGGTTGATTTCCACGTATCCAAAAGACATGTGTTTCTTCTCCGTTAGCTAGTCCTGTAGTCATTGTGACTGGCTCTTATTTTCATCTATAAGGTGCTGTCTTCTCCCCTAAATCTTGGGTTAAATTCAGACAGGAGGGTTGGGCTTTTCTTCAGCCTATGGCATTAACTGTTTGAATCATCCTAATAGTCATAAGGACATGTTAGTGTCCCTCTGAGGAAGCCTGCATTTCATGCATTGTGAAAAAAACTGCATCCTGATTTCATGTGAGCATTTATCTTGGACACAATTCTGCTTCGTGACTCACTTCCCACTCCATTAATTATCAGGTCCTTCTCTTGGATGCTGAAACCATGGTGGCTAACGGCCATCTCTCAGATGTAAAAGGGAGTTGCTTATCAAACAGAAGGTAAATGTGGAAGTCTAAAAATTCAAGTAAGAAAAATTAGTTTACAGTTTATCTTTCTAATATTGTCCCTAAGAGTCATCTGCCAGTCCCCAAAGCAGCAATTCTTGGTTACAGTTTTGCCATCCCGGAATAATAGGTATTATCCCAGTGAGCAGTCGCCACAAGACTTTTTTTAACCCTTTGTACGCCACAAGCATTTACAGACATGGGGATGGCTTCCGTTTTGGACATGTGGCATTGCCTGTGGCAGTTAACTGGTTGCATTCAACATGGTTTTCGAGTAAATAGGAAATAGAAGCCATTCTGGGTAACCTGGAAAGGGTCAAGGAGGGTCTCGTGCAGTCAAACCAATAACCAAATGCTGCCACCCTGGCAGAAGGCAGGTTGCCGTAGGGTCTCCGCCTGTCCGAGAGGAGGGCTTCCTCCTGGGCAGTCCGGTCTGCGCTCCACGCTTCTTGTGTGCTCCTGGCCAGCCAGTGCCCAGCCTTTGCCTTCCCTGCTGACCTCATGTCAGCGGAGGGGCCTGGTCTCCCACCGGCAGCCTCCCCATGGATAGCATTCCTGCTGGAGTACTTTCCTGGCTCTGTGGGGCTCCCTCCTCAGCTTTAACTTGTGAGAGAAGACCTCAGCCAGCTGTCTGCACAGACTTAACAGGGCTGTTTCTTCATCTCGGTTCCTTCCCCCGTCCCTTTTCAGCCTCCTTTGGTAAGAGAGCTTGGCTTAGTTGAAGTTTATAGTCTTAACTCTTCTAGACAAAGAATAGGGGTTGATTTCTAATAAAGATGAAAAGATTTCTTCCAAATCCCTGACTCCCCATTCAGCTCAAGATGGCAGCCCAGACCAAATCCTGTGTCTGCCGGCGCCCTGGGCGCCTCGGGTGGGGGCAGGGCGGGCAGGTGGTAGCACCGAGGCCAGTTTGTACACTTCGTTCCGGCCAACCGCCCATTTCATCTTTCCAAAGCTTTGTATTTATTAGGAGAAATGCAGAATTAGGAGAGGTTGCTGTTGACATGTGGTCTTTGCCAATTTGGTTTTCTTTCTGCAACTTAAGTTTCTTTTAACTTTCTTTAATAGGAAGTTTGTGATAGATAGTACATAAGGCAACACCTGCTTTTATGGCCCTGACCTGTTACTGCATTGATGCACATGTCGCCCAGATTGCGGCCCATGAGCCCTGGCCCAGCAGTGCTCTGTGCTGGGAAGCTTGGAGTCCTGTGCACGGTGACCCCCCTGCTGCGTGCAGAGGCAATATGTGCAGTGTCTGAGGATGTCTGAGAGCTGTTTACACCCCCCCCACACCCCCATTGGTGAAAACTAGTTATAGAGTGGGGTATGAAAAGGCTGAGAAACAGTGATGTAGGGTGAAGGCACCAAGAAACTGGCTGTCCAGTTGTCAATAACTATAACCGCAGCTCTGATTTTTTTTTAATAGATATTTTATTGATTTTTTACAGAGAGGAAGGGAGAGGGATAGAGAGCTAGAAACATCAATGAGAGAAACATTGATGAGCTGCCTCCTGCACATCCCCCACTGGGGATGTGCCTGCAACCAAGGTACATGTCCTTGACCGGAATTGAACCTGGGACCCTTCAGTCCACAGGCCAACGCTCTATCCACTGAGCCAAACCAGTTTCAACGACAGCTCTGATTTTTAGAGAAACTGAAAACGAAACTTGCTCCAGACAGAGCATTTCCAGTTGCTCTCATCCTCCAAGTCTTCCTTCCCTAGAGAAAAAGAGAACTCATCTTTTCTTTTAATCCTTAACTGAAGATGTTTTTGCCATTTTTTTTTTAAGTGAGTGGAAGGGAGGGTGGAGAGGGGGAGAGAGAAACATCAATGTGAGAGAGACACATTTATTGGTTGCCTCCCTCATGAATTCCAAACGAGTCCAGGGATTGAACCTGCAACTGAGTATGTGCCCTTGACCACGAATTGAACTTCCACCTTTCAGTCTATGGTCCGACATTCTAACGACAACCAAATCTGCCAGAGCGAGAGAACCCATCTTCTTACAGGAAGGGGGGCACAGCGGCACCCACCAGCCCCTACACCCACCCCAGCACACCGACTGTCTCCATTCTGTGTGTCCTGAACTGGAAGAGCAGAAGGTAGAGTTCTAAGTAGTCTATTGTCAGGTTGAGGCTTTCTTAGGGATAGTCTTCATTATAGCCCAACGGAATTAAAAATAGGAGCCATGAATCTGAAATTGTCTTAATCCTAATAGTTGGCTTTAGCCTGAGCATGTGGGTGATTCCGATGGAGACAGTGTCTTCCACGTTTTGGTCTCCAGGAAGAGGTCACCGCTACAACTTTCAGCCCAAGTATCCCCACTCCTTTTTCTTCGGCACTAAGAAACCTCTGGACGATGTGGAAGAATTCAAGGGCCATATTTGCCCTCTGTTTCTGACATCTGCCTCCTGGGCAGCCTGTAGGCCCTTGCGTACAGGGATGAAGACATACTAGGCCATCTTGCTCTACCTGCCGCTGAGGGCCTACTGAATGGCTTCTAGTTCACTGTCCCCCCTCCCACCCTCTGAACCAGCCGTGAGGCTGTAGCCGCCCTGTACAGGGTGTTGTAATCAAATGCAACCAGAGGAAAAGACCACAACATTTCCCTTTACGAAAGCACATCTATAGAAATGTGACCGGCCACATTTTTAAGTGATTATAATTATTCCTTATGGTTTAATTATATCTTTACTTCCAGTTTTTAGATTATAAAGCTTGTCAAATTTTTTGGCTCTCTTGTACTAAAATACTTCACTGTTGAATTACACGCACAAGCTGGGTCTTTTCTGTGAATAACTTCTTGCCTGCAAGTAGTGGAGTGGCTGGCAGCCCTGCTCGGCATCCGCCTCTGCAGCTTATCAGATCTGTGTGCACATGCCTGCTGCTGCCCTGGAGTACACTTGAAATTTGGGAGGACCATGTAAAACATGGAACCCATTTTAAAAGGAAGAAACTGTCAGAAAGTGTTGGCAATATTAGAAATTACCTCCCCCAAAATACAAGTTACTGTCCAAAAATAGACATTGGAACTGCTGGGAAGGGCAGGAAAGGCAGGATATTGTACACCCAAGACCATCTCCCTGGAGTTTCTTATATGGTTATTGAATCCTCCAGTTTACAGTAACCTTGAGAAGGCCAGACAGCTTAAAATGGCATTTTCCAAATGTTCTCTCCCCGCATTCCCAAATGTTCCCTAAGTAGGCAGTACCATCCAGTTCATTTAAGAGCCATTACTTTTTAAAGCAATCTATAAATGACCAAGAACAGAATATTCAGTGCCTAAGATACTATCTTTCCATAAAGACATTTTCCGCGCTCAAACCTCTCTCACTTGTGTTCAGATTAGATGTAGTAGCGCTCCTCCCCGCCTCAGCCCTGCCCTTCACAGAACCGCCCGGAGCCTGGTCCTGACTCGTAATTTGCAGTGAAACCTCCTCAGACAAGTTGCCTGCCTTCTCTGGGCTTGAATTCATCCTCTGAAACGAGCAATAACTCCCTCACTAGAATTTTCCACCTGTTGTAGTGAAATCAGGGAATGAGTGTGAAGGTAATGAAAGTGTAGAGAATATAATTTGGTGGTTCTATGGCATCTTGACTGGTAATGGTAGTGACAGTAATGTCTGTCAGTTCAGTCCACACGACCCTTGCTCCTTGGCTAACACGGATAAAGGTAGGTCTCTGCTTTTTTTCTTCTCCTTTCCCAAGTGCACTTTGCCACTCCTTGGCAACTGGACGATCAAGTAGTCAGAAAGTCAGGAGGACCTTAAGTCCAGGTGCTTTAAATGTTTTTATTTGTTTTAGACAGAGAGGAAGGGAGAGGATCAGAAACATGATGAGAGAGGTACATCAATCAGCTGTCTCCTGCATGCCCCCTACTGAGGATTGAGCCCACAACCTAGGCATGTGCCCTGTCTGGGAATCAAACCCATGATCTCTGGTTCATGGATCAACGGTCAACCACTGAGCCACACTGGCCAGGCAAGTCCATGTGCTTTAAGCATGCAATTTTAAATGTTCTTCTTAACCAGTTCTTTCTTTTCTTTCCAGTTTTCCCCCAGTTATACTTCCACATGATACACCAGAGAAGAAAGGTTCTTTCTCATACTGAAGAACACAAGAAATTTGAATAGTTCCTGTTTCTTCACCCCTCCAAAAAAACAAACTTTTCAACAACAACAACAAAATGCTGCAGACTTTTTGAGTTCCCAATACGTTTCATAGAAAATTAAGTAAAACTATTTTTAAAATACTAAACAAAACAAAAACCAAAATCCAGTGTCACACAGGTCTGGGATTTTATAAAATAAAACAAACAAAAAACTGTTACATAAAACACCCTGGCCAGTCCATTCAGCATGCTTTTTCAACCAGAAGTTCCCAATATTTATGATGGCACTAGACAGGGATTTGGTATTTTCTCCCCTCCTATTTCCTTCATGTATCTGAGAAACAAAGATCTGTAACACTGAATGCCTGAGAGCTGCAGTCTGAGTATGGAGGTGGCCCCAGCTGGGTGCCCGGCTTGCAGGAGTTCTGTTCAGTCTGCAGCGTGGTCAGCATCCCCTTTCAAAGTGCTCCACTGCATGCTGGGATCTGTTTGTGTTTTTGCAGCGGCAACCTTTGTTCTCTGGAATGCTCTGAAGTTAAGGCTAGGACCTTGCCCTCGTGTCTTGTGAATGAAATGCACAGTTCGTATGTCTGTGAAACTTTGGGGTAGTACCCATAATCAGACAACAGCTAGAACCCTTTTGTTTTCAGTTGAGTCATTACTGCCTGCCACTAAGAAACATGCTTGAATCTAATAAGTATGCATATATTATAGAGAACCTACCTTACCCGGGGCTAAGCCCCACTCATATTTAACAAAACGACAGTGATCAGGAAGGGAGAGTTTCAGCGAGGTGAGTGACAGGTCCCTCCCCAGCCTGTTCTCAGAGCCTCTGAGCGCTGCATGTGCAGCAGCTGTTCTCGTCTGTGGCCCAGACCAAACCAGTCTAGTCACCGAAGGGGAGGATCTGCTCATGAAACACATGGAAGGTGTCACTTTAGAGGTGTAATCGGAAGAACGTTCAGGAAGAGGTTTCTGTTTCTACACCTTGATCGTTATATTTTTAAATTTTCATGAAACTCCTCTGCTTGGATACTTCTCCAGCTATGGTCCTTCGTAATTCCCATCAAGCTGTACGCCCAGAGGCAGGGGGATACCCAGTGGGCAGTCGGGAGCTGGAAGCAGTATCACACACGTGCCCTCGCTCATGGACATCATCTAATGAGCGCCGTGTCTTGGTGCCATGTAGTTGCTCAGCTGTCCATTTCAGACGCTTCCAGAAAGGGGTGGAGGGAAATGCAAAGCCCAAGTTCTGATGTGCACTAGATTTTAAACACAGGATATTCTTTGTGGAGCCTTTTTTTTTTTTTTTAATTGGTTGATCTTTAAAACTTTAAAAGTCTAGCTTATAGAGTCATTATCACTTAAAATATAATTGCTAATGTCAGAAGAGTGTCACAGTGGAAAGTAAGTTCGAAATGCTTATTTTCATAGAGCCTTGAAAGTTAACATAAGAATGAGAAGAAAATAACGCAGCCTAAAATGTGATGCAGGCAGATGTGTAATAAATTGCTTCTGAATTGAACATTAACCTTCTGCTTCGCACAGTCAGCACTCTTCGCTTGGGCATATTGAAATTAGAATCTATTGTACTTGATAAACAAAATGTATGGGAAAGATTATATTTCATGTTTTTTCTCATTTCACTTTTCAAAACTTATTTCTCATATCAAATAGAGTTGATTTGGATTATAAATATAATATTATTATTTAATTTGGGTAAGATTTTTCCAGTTGTTGTTGGGATAGTTAGATGATGGGACGGAAAGTGCGGGTTTTTCAAGGTTGCTGGATTGTGTTTATTCCTCTCTGTTGTCGTTTGTCACTGGGGAACAGTCTGTTGCAGACGGTGGTCTTGCATCCAATTGTAACAAGAACACAGCAAACAGCTTTCTTCTCAAAAATGTTTATTTCTGTACATCAAACATTTAAAATGCTCATGGCAGATAAGACATGCCACCGTGTGTCCTTCAGCCACCTCTCCCAATTACTGGTTTCTTTAGCTCCAACATAAATAATGTTTCCTTCGAAGTGGTGGCATTCCTTTAGGAATTGAGACCATCCAACCCCACCAAATGTCCACCTTCCTACAAAGTGTGAATGAAAAGGTGGTGTTTGGTGGGTATTTTGTCAGACTTACAGTCTTCATTTCAGGGCACAAAGACATCAGCTGCCCCCTGACGGGATGTTTCAAATCCCTCTCGGGACCACCTTCTGGCAGAGGATTCTGCGAGGTGCGCAGCGGTGCTTTGTAGACATGAGCTGCTGATTTGCATCTTGCTGTGTTTGGTTTGCTAAGGTTGGGATCGATCACTTAACATGCGTGGCCTGTGATCAGAGGCACGGGGGAGAGTTAGTCCTGGAATAAAGCACCACCTGCCAGACGGGAACGGTCTCTGGCGGGACCTCTCGCGGGAGATGCAGCACTCGAGGCCTGGGATGAGCCTGCCCTCATCTCCACTTGCGCCTTTGGTTACTCATTTGGAACAAAAGGTTGTCATCGATGTGGTGCAACCTACGAGTTCTTTTCAATTCTGAGTTTCGGGTAAAACATAAAACGGCAGAACCAGTACGTACTGCTCCTTTGAAATTTGGGTAAAAATTTATATGACCATATATAGTCATTTTTGTATTTTTTCTATGTTGTGAAAACCAAAATTGTAATTTTATAAGTCTTTGATTCACTAAATTCTATAATTTAAATGTATTTTTTGTATATTTAGTAATATTAAGGCATTCAAAGACTATGCTTAACTTTCTATGCATGCACTTGGAAGCTCTTTTTACCTGATAATGTAGTCATAAGTTGTATTCATAAAATACTGATCTGTGTTGCATTTCAAAATAAACTGGTGTGTGCTCTGCCTGGATCTGAAACACTGGCCAGCGAGTCTGGTGATTTTTCACATTAAATTGGCCCGAAAGCGATGGTGTAGGAACATGGACCCGTTTCAGTTCCGCCACAGATTCCAGCTCCCTCTTTGTTATAAAATGTATTTCTGTTCATCCTGTGGTTCTGCACCTAAGGAAAAGCAGGTCACAGTAAGAGGCTTCCAACAAGTTGTTCTTCCTGCCAGTCTTCATGCTTCCCAAGCCGGTCCCCAACACACTGCAGAGGGACAAGGGGAGTCCTCACGCAGGTGACCAGGAGTCCAAAACTCCTCAGTGGACGATCGAGGACCCTAGTCGTCAGTGTCTTTTGTTTTGTTTCTGTCTTTAGCTTAACTCTGCTAGTATAAGTTGAAAGGGGAAATTCTCCTGTTGCCCAGCAGAGCTCATCGCATATCAGAGACGTGGTTAAGGGGTCCAGCGCCTCGTCCTGATGCCTCCACAGACAGAGTGGGCTAGGGCTGCTCAGCCCACAGGATACTCAGCAGCCACTTCTGCCCTGCTGGTTCTAGGCTCCAACGTCTTCCCCTCAATGAAAGCTTGTCTCCGCGTGCTGGGCACGTTCTGGTTATTTCCTTGGGTGATTTCTGTTGTCTGCCTCCAGCAGTCTCTTGCCCCCACCTACTCTACAAGGTCTTCTCAGAGTTAACTCAGCATTTGTTGTCCAAGAGCGTGGTCTTTATCCCAAAGGGGAACATTTCCTTCCTAAATGCTGTCTGGTCACGACTTTGATGTCACCAAGCACTGTGGTTAGAGTGAGAGCCATCTCACTCCCCATGCAGAGTCTATCTGTGTCACAGACAGGCTTCATGTTTGAAAAGAAGTAAAGTTACTGCAACTGAAACGGAGGGCCAGATGGCAAAGTTAATACAGAGGCACCCAGGAAACACCACTGTTACAATCAGGGCTCTCTAATTGCTCATTGTCATATTTTGTGGCAATTATGTGTACTGTTAACATAAGCCCAGCCTGAGGAATTGCCTTCGGTGTAATTAAGAGATTTGCTGTTCACGCAGCGTTCCAAAAATGCTGCTGTGTTCTGTTCCCTTTAACAAGAAGGGGGAAGACTAGCTTTGCGATTTCTCATCTTTTTAAAATTCCAGCGTTACAAATAGACTGGCTCATTGTCATATAGTTTCGTAGTGAAGAAACTGTTCTAAGCAACTATTACCAAAAATAGCCATACCTATTAACATTCCTCTGCGTGCAACTGAGAGCCAGTTAGACAAGAGCTCTGTGTCTTGCTTTGTTTTTACCACTTTCTTTTAGGCGTGTGAGCGACTGTTTCATCTTTCTTTTTTTTCCCTCTCTCTCACAGTTAAGAGATAGGGGTGGGTCTCATTACCAAATATTATCTCCCCCCCCCCTCCAAAAAAAAAACCCACAAAAAAACAGCAGTTCATTTGCTGAGCAAAAATAAAACGTGAGAGACTGCACATAAGCAGCTAGTGCCCATTTCTTAAATCTTTCCAATACTTCAACTGTGTTCCGCTCACTAATTCCAGAACATAGACTCATCACCACAGCAGCTCTTGCATCTGTCTTTGACCTTGGTGGGTGCAATCCAGTGATCTTTCCAGACACTGTGCTTGTAAAGCCCAAAAGTTGTTCCTGTCTCTCCTGTTGTAGCCACTCTGGCCTGTCGGGGGCAGCACCTCCCCAGTGATCCAGGGCTGTGGGAACTGGCTTCTGCCCAAGGACAAAGAAGGAGCAGAAAGACACTAATGAAAATTAGTTCTGGGCCTCTATTGTCCATATAAAGTAAAGGGCGGTTGGCTCTCAGCATATTCTGGAGAGGTGCAGTCAATAACGCTTTTATTAGAGCAAAGAAACCTTGGATGGGTGCTAGGAGGCTCCCTTTACCCGTCGCCCGCCTCAGCACGGGCCCTGCCGGCTGCTAGATCTGGAAATGCTGAGGGCTTTCAGAGCTGGTCAGAAGGCAGGTGTTAGTGCTCTTGTTTAACAGAGAGCCCGCTTGTTAATCTCTGAAACACTCAGGAGGTCCGTTCCCACTCTCCTCTGTTGGGTATTTTTGGAGGGTGGCCTGGGCCATGAGGAAATGTCAGGCCACCTTATAAGGCCACATCTGTCCCCGAGAATGCTCGTCTGCAGCACGTCCAGTACTCCGAGGGT